TAGTAACCAATCTGAACCGTCCAAATCTAATAATTAATTCTATGGTTAAGTGGAACTAAACCTTGGCCGTGGAAGCAACATTTACCATCCCTCCTTAAACATTACTCATAATCAATACTGGAAGAAAAGCTAGCCCAAAACTCCCAAGAACACAACAATGAATTTCATTGAACCAATTTAAGGAGAAACAGAAATGTAGGTTAAGCTTGTTCAAGATGTAGGTTTTTGTTTAATATAAGATGAACAGATAATGGAACAGATAATGGAAGAAGATAATGGAAGAAGAAGAAACTTACCAAGATGGAGAAGACAGAACGAACGACGGCGACGACTGAAGAAGACGGAACGAACGGCGGCGACGACGAAGACGGCAGAAATGAAGAAGACGAAGAAATGAAGAAGACTGAACGAACGAATTTACCAAGTGAGGGCAAATATCAGATTTAGGGATTTTTAATTTAATTATAAAAACAACCTATGAAAGCGCTTTTAAAAGCGCTTTCGTATGCCCCCCATATGAGAGCGCTTCTGAGATAAAAAGCGCTTTCGTATGCCCCCCATATAAGAGCGCTTTAGAAAGCGCTTTCGTAGGTCCCCCTTTCAAAGCGCTTTTCAAAAGCGCTTTTATAGGGCCACCTATAAGAGCGCTTTTCAAAAGCGCTTTCGTAGGTTAGATATTTCAAATACCTATGAAAGCGCTTTCTGAAAAGCGCTTTCGTAGGAAATCCTATAAAAGCGCTTTTTTTAAGCGAATTTTTTTTAAAGGCTACGAAAGCGCTTTCTCTTAAAAGCGCTTTCGTAGATGCGCTGCCAAAAATTATTTTTTTTGTAGTGAAATTAAGGAAAATACAATAATTTATGTGTTGTTTAGTCTTTTGTTACATGCTTTATCCAATTTTATAATAATTTCTCCATAAAATAAATACAAAAGAAATAAATTGAATTGTTAAATCAACAAAATAAGATATATAATACTATTTTAAAATATTTTTACACTCACAACTAATCACATACGTACATTCCGACATTTTTAAGTAAATACTTTCATCCATATATTTATTCAATTCATACTATTTATCAAGTTAATTTTAATTTTGGATAGAGTGAGTAATTACTAGTATAAATGCTTTTTATAAAAAGAAAATAACAAGAAGTGTGGGCCCAAGTATTGTTTCAAGTGACGTGGGAATAGTTTGGCGCAAAAATGAAGGTAACCGCAAATATAGAATGCAAGTGAACCCTGTCGTGACACCCATATAAAAAGAGAATGAGTGATAGCATTTTTATTCTTATTTTTAATATCTAAAAAGTTGTTTAGAAGCATTCTAATAAATAAATGTTTGAATAGGAAAGTCATAAATTTTGTGATTATAATTTGTGATGCACAATTAAGATATGTGTTTTTAAAGAAATTCACCATCATTAAGGCTTTTATACAATAGATTTATGTTAAGAGAAACTAATTAAGTAACAAAAGTAATTTGTTGTCTTAAGAGAAACTAATTAAGAGACAAATACTATTATTGCCAAGTATAGTCTTTTTGAGATTCCGTTTTTAATGAAACAAAGGGGGGATTAAATCCCAAAAATACAACTGAAAATATCTAGAAAATAAATAAATAAATAAAAGAAACATTTATCAATCAACGTTATGACATTCAAACCAAATTTTCGTATAGATTCTACTTTGATAAACATTTTAGTTTTCTAAAATTATAATTGAATATCTTAAAATCAATCAGACTAATAGAAATAAACTAAATGAAATAGAGCACAATAAAGATTTTATTAAAATAAAAAGAAATATAATTAAAAAAATTTATTTTTTGTTTGAATATTTTAAAATAAAATAAAATAGTTTTTTTATTCCGGTTAAATCAAAAGAGAAAAAATCCGATAATAAATAATTGATAAACTGAAATCAATATCACTTTATTATATTATTCTCTATTTAATTTTAATTAATTTAAATAATATAATTAGTTTAGTCATAGTTAAATATTTCTCTAAGTTAGTAATTTTTTGGATTTTATTTCTGTAATTTTATTTTAAATTATTATTTTTTAAATATTTATCTTTAAAAGTAAAATTTGTTAGGATCTATTTAGTTTAATTGAAGGGAGAGGAGGAGAGATGATTAAGAGGAGGGGAGAGATTTAAATTATTTATATGTTTGGTTAAAATTATGAATGAGAGGAAATGGAGATATTTTATTTATAAATGTGTTTGGTTCACGGGAAAAGAAAGGATATTTTAAAATTAATTTATTTTTAAATCTTTGTAATTTTATAATAAAATTTCTGATATTTATCGTTTATAATTCAAAAATACAAATTCAATGATGAAATATAAATATTCAATCAAAGATTATTATAAAAGAGATTATAATAACGTAATGATTATGATATATAATTTTAAAAATATTATCGAATATAATATAATATTAAACAAAATTTTTATGATAATTAAAAAGTAATTTAAAATATTTTAAATAAAATAAAAAATTTAAATATATATGAATATATAAAAATATAAAAAATATAAAAGAAAGATAAAATTTATTTAAAATAAAATTTTTAATATTTTAATAAATTAAATTTATATTTAAATAAATAAATAAAAATAAATATGAAAATATAGTTATAATTAAAATGAAATTCTTTCCCTTCTCTTCAAATCTCTCCAAATCGAAAGAAAGTAAAAAATAATTCACGAAAAATTTTGGTCCTATTTATTTACCTCCCTCTCTCTTAAAATATGAATCAAACACAAACTATTAGATATTTTATCTCATTTCCTCCCTTCATATATTCCCAACAAAACATATTCTTGTTTGTAGGTAAAAAAGGATTTTTCTACAAAATCTTATGATACACTACTTAACTTCATCTTACTTCACGATTCAAAAGTACATTTTTTTTCTTTCAAGGAAAATATTAAAACTAACATAAATAATCTGATCCCTTAAATTTAATTGAATAATAATATTTTTAATCAATCAAACATTATAATTTAATATTACATAATTTATTATTTTATTTTATTTTTAAAATAATTTGTAAGGTATCAATACCCAATTTAAAGAGTGTAATTATTATGCATCGTTAATGTAAAAATTTACAGATAATTTTGTGAACATTGAAAAAAGATAAAACTTATATATATAATTTTTAAGTGTTATTTTTAATATTTTTAATTAAAATATAATAAATATATAATTTCTCTTACATATATATTTCTTTTCTATTTTTATTCTTTAAAATTTTTATATTTAAGTATATTTATTATATTTTCATTAAAAAAAGTAAAACCTACCTATATAAAGAAGTATCTAATTTTTCTCTTAAAAATAAAATTATATATATATATATATATATATATATATATATATATATATATATATATATATATATATATATATATATATATATATATATATATATATATATATATATATATATATAATTTAATATCAACTATCAACTATATAACATGTTATTAAATTATCATAAATGTTCTTTTATTTTAAATGATCAACTATAATATAATATGTTATCAAACTACTATAAATGTCCTTTTCTTTTAAATTAATTGTACTATAAAAAAAGGTATGTTAAAATTTATAGTTATTAATATAATATGTTATCCAACTATCATAAATGTCCTTTTATTTTAGATTAGTTGCACTATAAAAAGTATATTGATATTTTATCAATATAATCATACTCTGTATTCAATAAAATATTGACATTTAACAATACAAAACTACTTTCTTATTTTAAATTATTATTTTTTCTTTTATAAATTAAACTACTTTTATCTTTAGTTCTCTGTATTAAATTCTCCGCATACTTCACAATTTTTAAATTATATTTATTTACAATTTTTTTTAAAATTAAATTCATTTTTTTAATATTTCTTTCTCTTTTCATTTCATTATTTTATTTTTTATATTTAATTATTTTATGTTCTTTTAATTATTTTTAATATATTAAAATATATAATTATAATATATAATTATTATAAATATATATAATATTGACATTTAGTAAATAAACATATACACGACTAACTTTTCAACTCACATATAAATATCAGAAAAATACATATTTTATTTTAATTAATATTTTCATTATTTGAGTTAAAAAAAAATATTTTTAAATATCAATTTTTTAATTCACAGGTCACTATAAGTAAAATATCCATTTTATTTTAATTAATAATTTTTTTTATTTGAAACACAAATTTTTATTTTAAAATTTTAACATTTATCTTTTTCTCATTAATCAATATCAGCAAAATATATTTTTTATTTTAATTAAAATCATTTTTATTTAATATATAAAATTTAGATTTTCAAATGTTAAAATTTGTTTTCCACGGAATACTATCAACAAAATATCTATTTTATTTTAATTATCAATTACCTTTATTTGAGACACAAAATTGTCATTTTTTAAATATTAAAATTTATCTTTTTTTCATGAATTACTACTGTTAGTAAAATATTTATTTTATTTTAATTAATATTTATTTTTATTTGAGTCACAAAATTTTTATTTTTTTTTAAATATTAATTATTTTCTTTTCTCATTTTAAAAGATATTATTTTTTATTTTTATAATTATTTAATATAATTAAATTTATATTATCATTAATTATTTTATAATTAAATAATTAATTTTAAATTCACATATAGAACTAAATAAAATTTATATAGTATTAAGTAAAATATTTGAGTGTCTATTTCCATTTCCATTTTGAGGATCAATAACACAAAGAAAGGCACACATGACACACACAAAACAACACTCTCTGATTCCTTCTACTTTCCATTTTCTTCTATTCTATTTCTCTCTCATTATTTTCTCTCTCTCCTTTCTCTCTCTGACTATCTATTTTCTCCAAAAAAAATACATGATTGCATCTCACCGGAGAACCACTCCTCCGCCGCCCTATATTCTCAAACTCCTATAATCTCACAAAAACTCGACACATATATGAATCCCGCCATGGGAAGCCTCAATAACAACAGTATTGATACAGTCAACGCCGCTGCCACCGCTATCGTCACGGCCGAATCTAGAGTACAACCCACCACCGCACCGGTTCGTCTCTCTAAATATTGACCTGTTACCGTTTTCAATACTTTGTTTACCGAGGTTAACTGCGTGCAAAAGAGAGAAAATTATGGGATCTCGTGTTCTGTGTATTATGAAAGTTCCTTTTTTGTTTTGACATAATCACTTTTTTCTTTTTCTTTTCATGTTTATTTAATTTTTTAACACATTTGGATCTCGAGTGTACCTTTTTCCTGTCATATATATTCTATAATTAGTGAAAGTCTATGAATCTATGATTGTAATTTACAAGTGAATAAATAGTAGCAACCATGGATTATTGTAATTATTTAAAATAAATTGATTTTTTTTTAATGATTTTTATGAGTTTAATTCTATATTAGTAGTGTTGAGTTTAACAATTGGCTTCAAATTGTTAATTTCATGATAATACTATAGTTAATTAAGAAAGGGTATATTTTGGAGAAGATTTTGAGCTAAAACTTTAATGCATAATGGTTCCATGAATTTTATTTGATTGTTTTGATGATAATTTTAGAGCATTGTCTTCTGATTTCTGAGATTTGTGGTTATAATCACTACAGATCTTTGATATGATTTCAATAATCTATGTTCTGTAATCTATCAATGTTTTCGTGTTTCGGCTTTTGCCTCACAATTGCTTCTTCGCTAATTGCAGAAAAAACGATGGGGGAGCTGCTTTAGTCTGCCTTCTTGCTTTGGATCTCAAAAACCCAGCAAGCGAATCGGCCATGCTGTTCTTGTTCCTGAACCTGTTGCACCGACGGTTCCGGTTGCCAATGCTGCACCGAATCCTTCAACTACCATTGTGATGCCTTTCATTGCTCCTCCCTCGTCTCCGGCATCGTTTCTCCAATCTGATCCCCCGTCTTCTACTCACTCACCGGCGGCTGGATTGCTTTCGCTTAGTTCTCTATCTGTCAATGCTTATTCTACTAGTGGTCCTGCATCGATTTTCACCATAGGGCCGTATGCCTATGAGACACAGTTGGTTTCACCTCCGGTATTTTCAAACTTCACAACTGAGCCTTCAACCGCTTCTTTTACTCCACCACCTGAATCTGTACAGATGACAACACCGTCGTCTCCCGAGGTTCCGTTTGCTCAATTGTTAGCATCTTCTCTGGACCGAGCTCGTAAAAGTAATGGAACACACAAGTTTGCATTATACAATTATGAGTTTCAGCCTTATCAGCAATATCCTGGGAGCCCCGGTGCTCAACTCATATCACCTGGATCAGTTATTTCAACATCTGGCACCTCTACCCCTTTACCCGATAGACGTTCATCCCTTGAATTCAACAGAGGGGAAGCACCGAAGATCTTAGGTTTCGAACATTTCTCCACTCGAAGATGGGGTTCAAGAATGGGATCAGGATCATTGACACCAGATGGTGCAGGTCAAGGATCAAGACTAGGTTCTGGATCTTTGACACCTGACGGTGTTTCACACGCATCACGATTAGGTTCCGGGTGCACTACACCTGATGGTCTAGGGAAAGACTCTAGGTTAGGTTCCGGTTCTTTGACTCCAGATGGTGCCGGCCCAACCACTCGAGACAACATCCATGTACAAAACCAGATTTCCAACGGCGTGTCTGTTGCAGACTCTGACTACGGACATCAAAACAATGCAACGATAGTCGATCACAGAGTTTCATTCGAGTTAACCGGCGAAGATGTTGCACGATGTCTTGCAAATAAAACGGGAGCATTACTTAGAAACATGTCTAGTTCTTCGCAGGGTATACTGGCCAAAGACCCTATTGACAGAGAAAAGATACTAAAAGAAACCAATAGTTGTTGTGAGGTCTGTTCGGGGAAAACAGTCGGCGGAGAACAATGCTGTCAGAAACGTAACTCTGTTAGTTCTTCCAAAGAATTCAATTTCGACAATAGAAAAGGCGATGCTTCGGGTACATCAACCAACGGCTCTGCATGGTGGACTAACAAGAAAGTTGACGGAAAGGAAGGTAGATCGGTTAATAGTTGGGCATTCTTCCCAATGTTACAACCAGATATCAGCTAAGGATTTAGTTTATTGCAAATTTGCAACATGACATAACCTCTATGGTTTCATTTTTCTGCAGAATATTTTGCATATAATGCATAACTAGACATTATTTGGAATGGTATATGGATATATAGTCTCTTCTTAGGACTGAAAGATGGTAAAATGCAAGGGGAGTATAGTTTGTAGGTAGGAACATATATAATGGATTTCAAATTCTATGGAACAATTACTCCTTGCATTTCATTTCATCTTTTTAAGTATATACAGAAATAGAAAAGTACAGGTATTTCTTGTTGTGTATTTTTGTTCCATTTCCTGTGCAATAATGAGAGAAAAAAATATATTTGTTTTTTCTTTGAGCAGTTGGATATATAGGTTCCTTATACATCTACATAGCTACATGTTTACCTGTTTTAATGTCCTTAAATTAATGTCTCAAAGGAGGATCTAGCACAACAGGGTACTCATCTGCAAGTAACTCATGCATGGCCCCTTTTAGATCTCGGTTTTGTGCGGTCGCAATCCCGTGACTACTTCCTATGTAATCAACCATATCTTGACCGTTCAATGAAGATTCGATAGTATTAAAGGAGAGTAGATTAGATGGGAGAAGTCAGTCAACTAAAGATAGTGGAAAATTTAGAAAAATTGTAAGACAATTTATAAAAAAAGAATTCGAGATTAACAATTTAGATAGAAGTATAATTCTGGATGAAAAAAGTTGATTCATGCAGTCGTTCTCATTTAATGGGATAAGACTTGGTTATTAATCTAAATATGGCTGAGTGCATGAGGTCACACTGCACACAATCAAAATCTTTTCCTTTTATATTGACGCGTGTGGTCGAAAGGTTGTCGAAAGGCCGCAAAGAAATTGTCCTAATTCATTGCCGATTTAGTCCTTTCTTCATAAGCGTCATACAACTTCGTAATCGTCTTGAATTGATTAATATGATTAAGATTTTTTCAATTTAAGAAATCAATTTTAAATTTGTGAATTGCAGGGATTAAGTTTTTTAATACTACAATTATAGGAGTAGATTGGTTATTGATTGGGAGGGGAATGTGATTGACAGGGCGGATGGGAGGGAAGGGGGGGGACCCTAATATAGTGGCTATATGCACTATGTTGGGTTTGTCTGAGTTGTTTCTTCTTGTCTTGTCTCTTAAGTTAACCAATAAGTTCCCTATTGGACAAAATGTTTCGCTTTCATTTCAATGCCTTTAATGATAGGTAGGTACATGTTTCATTCAACAACCTGCAGGATTAAACTCTTCCATTGACATTGTTTAAAAAGGCAAAGTCGTGTGAATACTTGTGTTCATATTCTCACTAACATTGATAAAACTGTATAGTAGTAGTACTAGTTAGTTGCAGTTAAAACTTGTCAATTTCATATGCTATAGAGTAATACTCACCTCAAAATTTGGGATTGCTATCTTTTTTTTATCTTGTTCCTAGGTAAAACGATCCTTTGACATCTTTTTCAATGTCTTTTTGAAAAAGTATTATGAAGGTGAGTGTAAAAAAATAGTTTTCTTAGTACAACTCTTTTTCAATACAGGTAGAAGTAGAACATGCGTGTGATTAGAGCAATATATTTCTTTTTGGGCTCTTCCCTAACCACATATTGAGTACTATAGTATGAGGCAAGTTGTGTCCATATAGGGTCCATTATTTATAGGTATACTTCACACCCGTTATATGTATACATAAAGAATAAAATAAGTTAAATATCTTATTCCAAAAAAATAAGTTATTTCTCCATAATTTTATAGTTTTTCAAAATATCATTAGTTTCTTTTTCTTCTTCTCCCTCTCTTACATTTTACCCCTCAAGTGACATTTAGTTTGGAGCCTTTTGAAGATGTGACCATATCATAGTTTAAGTCCCCTTTAAGGTCACTGGCTAAATATTTTATATAATAGATTACTCTAATTGAAGACTTGTTACCTTTTTGTAACTTACCATTTCTATTGTATTATAACAAACTATCAATAAATTTTATTAATTTTCTCTTTGTTAATACTTTTAGTGCGTGAAACACTTTAAATAAAGAGAGAAAGAAAGAATAATAAGGAAATAAAGATTATATTATTCACTTGAATTGTTATAATAATGATATAAACTATGACTATTTATATACACCTAACTTATACACTAAGTATGCTAACAAACTCTAATTGAGTTTGGATTTAGGTTACACAACTTGGAGTAGGTCTAATATTTCAACACCTCCCCCCCCCCCCCCCCCCCCCCCCCCCCCCCTTTAATTCAAGTTGTTCTAAAAATAGTCAATCTGAAGTATTCATAATTTCTTTCTCAAATTCAGGAATATGTCGATCTTCAATCTTTTGATGAAGATGTCGGCCAACTGTGCTTCACTTGAGCAATGTCTAACTTCAAGTTCACTTCGATTTACCTTTTCCCTTAAGAAGTGAAATCTAACTTCGATATGCTTACTTCTTCCATGCAAAACTGGATTCTTCGTCAGGTTTATGGCTGACTTGTTGTCGATTTGTAACATAAGAGGTTTCTTCACTTCGGCCTCCATTTCTTCAAGTACAAATCTGATCCAAATTACTTGACATACAACATAAGATTTTGTTAAATATTCAGCTTCACACGATGATAATGTCACCACATATTGCTTTTTCGAGCACTATGAGATTGAGGCACTAAAGACTTGAAAGAAATATCGAGTTGTGCTTCTTCAATCTTCCTTATCTCCACACCAATCAACATCTGAAAAATAAATAATTGTCGCTTCTTTGCTTTCAAAGTCTCGTTGAAATAGTATTTCACAGGTTATCGATCCCTTCAAATATCTCAGGATTCTTCTTGCAGCTTTCATGTGTGAAACTCTTGGTTCGCTCATGTATTTGCTCATTAATCTAACTGTGAAACCTATATCAGGTCGACTGTTGCATACATATCTCAGAGATCCCACAATTTATTTGAACAAAGTTACGTCGACTTTGTCTTTCTCTCCACGCTTCTCCAACTTCACATTTGGTTCGACATGTGAGGATGCAGGATCGAATCATCCATTATGAATCTCTTGAGTATCTCTTTGACATACTTCCTTTAATGTAGTACCATACCATGCTTCAACATTTGAAATTCCATGCCTAAGAAATAAGACACTTTTCCCAAATTTGACACTTCAAATTCCCTCTTCATCACCTCTTTGAACTTCAACAAGTTCTCCAAGCTATTTCTAGTTACCAGTAAGTCATCGACGTATAAGAAGATGATTGTTATATCTTATACTACAACTTGAACATAGACACCATACTTAGATTTACATTTTACAAATCCCAATTTGATTAAGTATAAGTCAATCTTCTTGTTCCATGTCATAGGTCCTTGCTTGAGGCCATAGAGCGCTTTGTACAACTTATACACCTTACTCTTACTCGCTTCCTTCTAAATCACAAACCCAGAAGGTTGTGTAACACAGACTGCCATACCCCAAATTTGTTCGCCCTTTATTTCTACAATCAAAAATATTTTCAACATTGGTTTTTACAATATTCTTTAGTTCAATTTTACTAACATTTTAACAATAATTTATTTCGCTCATTTAAAAATGTATAATAGTTTATTTTAAATTATTTATATTTTAAATAGCAAATATCTGTTCACTTTCATAAACTTTCAATTGGGTTTTTTATTTTAAATGAGTAACATAACACAATTGGTAAGGAATAAAGCTTACAAGTATGAGATCGTGGGTTCGAATCTATTGTGTTGCACTTTTAATATTTTCTTTTTCTATTTTTTGTTACTAATTTTCTTTTCTTTTTTAGAGATCAGATTTTGTACTTCTCTTGATTTTTGGGGTTTCTGAACAGAAATTCTGAGAAACAGATCCAAAAATTTTCAACAACTTTCGGTCCTTCCGATCCAACACCCTCAATTGTCGTCCCGTCGCCGTTCATGCCTCCCTCTTCGTACATGTTTGTTTTTTTTTTTGTTTTTTTTATATATTATTATTATTACTAACAAGTATTTTAAGAAAAATATATTTTTTCTTAGGGGCCTTAAGACCTATTTCTATTTAGTGCATGTATATAATTCTTTCCATCTCTTTTATTTTAGTTTGTTTTGTTAATAGATTATTTTGTTAGTTTTATTTTTAGTAATTAAAAAAAAAATTCTTCTTTTAGATTGTTCTCTTAAATAATTAAGTTTTTTTATGATAGGCTAATTTAATTAGGATTTTAATTAGGTAGCTTTTTAAGGTAGGTTATTTAAGTTATATAAAAATAAAAATGTAAAAAAATTAATTCTTAGGTAATTAGGTTATGTGTTTCTATATGTTTAAGTAATACAAAAGTGAAAAAATCAATTTCAATTAGGTTATTTAAGAAAAATAATATTGTATACATAATTTAGTTTTTTCAATTAATCTCTCACATCACTTGTAAATAATACTGCTAATCTTGTACAAACACTTTTTATAATCAAATTAATTAATTTAACATTTTACAAAGATATTACTAAATCCCGCTGCTTAATTGGGTCAAATTCAATTCTTAACTTGAGCCCTTAATATCCTCATCCCACTCTGTATCTTACCATACTCACTATCGATTAAAACTCAAAACACCTTCCCTTCGTCTAAAGTGAATCAAAAACTTAGAATCTCTCCATCAATTTAGGATTATCCCATTATTCACTCGTCGTTAGGATAAAAAAATAGTGGTGACGACTCGTTATTTTTTGTCGGTTACGACAGCTGACGGCTCTGCTGGAAAAACAACTCTAGGATTTAGAAACTTCTCTCTTTTTAGGTTTAGGGTTTCGTTAATGTTTTTCTATATTTTTTGATTTCTATATTTATTTGTTTTATTTAATTATTTGGTTTTATTTATTTATTTTATATTATTATCAATATCATATTATTTTGTTGTGGCAGTATTTTATTATTTCATAATAAATTCAAAACCTTAGAAAGAAGGTTCATTTATTGGCCAAGGGGATATATCATTCTTATGAGTTTTTGTG